TCAGGTATCGCGAAGAGAGACAACTTGTTTGTGATCTCCGTGTACCCTCCAACTGACTGCAGTGACGACTCGGTCAAGGACGAATTCTACCGGGATCTACAACAGCTCTTGACTAATGCTAAAAAGTCGGATGTCGTTATCCTTGCTGGGGATTTTAATGTACGGGTTGGCCGCCTGTTACCATGCGAACGCCACCTTGCTAGTCATCATGCGTTCGATGAGAACCGCTCTGATAACGGAGAGAGGCTTCTCACATTGTGCGAAGACAACCGTCAGTTTCTTTCGTGCATTAAATTCAGTCGTACGAAGAAGCGTTCCGCAACGTGGCGTCCCCCTTCTTCAACACAACCGTGGTTTCAAATTGATTACATTACAATTAGCTTTTGATGGCGCGGCAGCGTACTGGACGGCAGGTCCTTTCGGTCCACATTCTTTGACTCAGATCATGCTCTGGTCTGCGCGAAAATCTGTATGTGTTTTGGAGGATCCCGAAACATGAAGCACCCCAAATTGATGTAAACAGATTGACTGATTCCTCTGTCCAAGCGAGCTATCAGTCTTGACTGGCATATACACTCAGTTGCAATCCACCGCAAGAAGTGGAACAACACTGAACTTGTATACGGAAAGCGATGACCATTTCCCGACAGTCATGCTGTGGCCTAACTCGATGCCCCTTGAAGGTTTGGATCTCTGCTCGTTCTCCGGAACTGTTCGAACGCCGCGAAGATATCCCTGCGGAGTCAAATTGCAACGAGCGCCGCCGCTCTGCCAACCGGCTGCTCAAGCAAAGCCTACGCAAGGATCGCCAGACATGGTGGTCTGAGCGTGCTTTAGAGATGGAGACCGCTGTCCTCTCTGACAACAGTCGCAGGCTTTTCCAACTCATTCGGCCCACTGGCCTCAGGAAGCCTGGTGTCAGTGAGGTCATTTGTGAGGTGGATGAGTCTCCGATTACCAACCAACAGAGGCGTATGGACCGCTGGGCCGAGCACTTTCACTCGCAGTTCAACTGGCCTCCACCATCCATCAGTACATGCAGTGCACCTTGTTGTCCCGCTCGTCCCGCTGAATCCGCCCAGCGAAGCGGAAGTGTGCCTCGAGATTCGACGCTTGAAGCGCTTCAAGGCTGCCGGCTTAGACGGATTTCCTCCGGAGCTATTCAAGTACGGCAGTGTGGCGATCACTAACCAGCTGACCGCTATGTTCGCAAAAGTCTGGCATGAAGAGAAAGTGTCTTCCTCTTGGGGCGAATCAGTTATTGTCCCGATTTCCAAGAAGCCCTCGCACTTCATGTGCAAATTTTCGTGGGATTAGTCTTATTTCGGTTGCTTCTAAGCTATTGACATCCATTCTGCTTCGCAGACTATCCCCAGTACATGGATCGTACTACCGTGAAGAACAAGCTGATTTCCGTCCTGGCCGCGGATGCGTGAATCAAATCTTCACGCTCCGCCAGCTCCTCGAACATCGTCACATTTATCACAGGCCCACTATCGTTGCACTCCTAGACATACGTACTGCTTTTAACTCCGTTGATTGACCTGCTTTATGGTGTTGCTTGCTAAAAAACGGGGTGCCAGAGAAATACACCGCCAACTTACGAGCACTTCACCTTCATACATCCGGCAGAGTGAGGGTCTATGGCAAGCTTTCCTCGCAATTCGTTGTCAATAGCGCTGTGCGACAGGGTTGTTTTATGTCCCCATTCCTCTTCAACTTCGCAATCGAAGACGTTCTGTCGAATGCTCTAGAAGATTTCCAACATTTTGGCCTAGCTTCTACCGGATGAGCGCACAACCGACTTAGATTATGCTGATAATATCGCCTTACTTTGTGACGATCTTCAGGGTATGCAACTCATTCTGGATCGTTTGGCGGTTGAAGCATCTAAGTATGGCATGAGTTTCGCCCCATCGAAGTGTAAAGTACTGCTCAAGGATTGGCTTTCACCTGCTCCCGTGTTCATTCTCGAAGGTGCACAACTTGAACAGGTATATAGTTTCGTCTACCTCGAGCAGCATTTGTCAATCTGAGGCACTTGTGGCGTCGTTGCGACGTCTCATTCTCATTAAAGGGCCGCGTTCACAGCGCATCAGTTTGCTCAGTATTGTTGTATGAGTGCGAGTCCTGGCCGCTTCGCGTGGAAGACATGCGTCATCTTTCTGCCTTCGATAACGGTTGCTTAAGGAGGATTACTCGTGTTTGGTAGCAACATTGAGTTAATAGTAATGACGTTCGACGTCGTATCTTGGGGAATGCGAATATTCCCTTCAACAAGCTGGTTTTGTTGCGCCAGTTAAGATGGCTCGGTCACGTCCTACGCATGGTACCTGAGCGTCTACCGCGTTGCGCTCTATTCGTTCGTCAAGGACCTGGCTGGAGGCGACCGCGTGGTGGTCAGCCTTCCACTTGGCGGCAGCACATGAAATCGCTAGCCGCTGTTGGATCCGTACGTCTCCCAGGACGGGGACCCAAAGATGAGGAGTACCAATGGCTTAACACTCTTGTAGACATGGCCCGCAATCGGAATCAGTGGAAGAATCGTGTGCAGTATTGTATTGATTCACATGTTTAATACTACAAACTTTGAAAAGGGCAAAATGAGCGGAAAATCGGCGTGTGAAAAACAAACTAAATGTGTTTTGTTCCACTTTTTATCAAAATTTTCCATTCTTCCTGCGGCATATTAGCTGAAGTGTGTTGCTCACCTTCAACTACCATGCCACGATTATTATGACGCAATGACTGTCTCTTATCCACTGATCTCCATGGTTTTCTGTTGGATCTGTCTAGTTGATAAACAGCTGAGATTACTACTACTATTTGGCGCAGGGGTCCCGTGGCTAGACACAGTGACAGGTAAATCCGAAACCGGATGGCGCCAACCATGATATTCAACACTACCAATTACATTGCGATTGGCTGAGTATCACAGCACAAAAGAGAAAATATATTGAAAGGGAAAGCGACTGTTAGAGTCTCACAGCTAGTGCACCATTGCGTATTCTCATTGGCAGTATCCAGTAGCGTTTGCAACGAGATGTGTCCAGGGTCTTTTGGTTCCCAACCCGGGATTCGGGAATGGCCATCAACGGCCAGCTTCAACCTTTGCGCTCTGACGCATTGGATCCGAGTTTTACCCTGGCCTCCTTGTCTTCGCTTCCATCCCACGCCTCTACCCATAAATTGGCACGTCGTGGTAGCCGCTGGGTAGGCATGCGGAGCACGTGCCCAAGCCAGCGAAGCCTTCGCAGTGAAATGATGTCAATCGGTCGGCGGATTTTGTCAGATTTGAAGAGTCGCTGACGGACTTAATCATTTATGATGTGATGCTGCCATCGAACATCTGCAATGCTTTGTAGGCAGTGGGGATCGAAGACAGATAGCCGCTGAACATCACTTTTGCGAACGGGCCAAGTCTCAGTCGCACCCTAGAATCGCTGGTACAGCAGCATTGTAAACTCGTCCCCTGAGAGCGAGGCTGAGGTCACGACGAAGCCAAAGGTGACGAATGTTAGCGAAGCTACTCTAGCCTTGGAGACACGCAGGGAGATGTCATCCGTCAAACCAATACTGACTCCCGAGGTAAATGCATTCTCGACCACTTTCAGCAGATGCCCCGTAAGGGTGAGAGGGGATGCATTTCGCCAGTTTTGTAACAGGACCTTACATTTGCAAGGGGCAAAGGTCAAACCACATTGGGAGGCGGACATTTTCAGTCTAAGCAGCTTATGCTGGGCGGCCTGGGAGGACTCGCAGATCACAGCGACGTCATCTGCATATTCCAAGTTCCGAAGGCGGTCACCAGGAAGCAGTTCAACGCCGCATTACTCAGTTTTCCATGGAAGTATGCAGGATCTCGTCCAGGGCGATGTTGAGCAAGCATGGAGAGGCTGGGCAACCCTAACACCGCTAGTGATACTGAAAGAGGGCGAGAAGTCTCCGTATACTCGCACACGGCCCGAAGTTTGATAGTAAATGGCACGTAGAATGCTGTTGTACTTTTCAGGTACTCCTCTCTTCATTAAGCAGTCTTAAAGAGCCACTCTGTCAATAGTGTCAAAAGCGGCTCGAATGTCCAAGACTATGACTGGTTGGTCGACTGAACGTATGGCGATTTTCAAGTGTGTGGCTGATTGTAAGGATGTGGTTATCTGTTACTGTGTCTAAAGGACGGATCAATTAGCTGACGCATGTGCACTCTTGAAATCGTCGTTGTCGACTTGCAGTTTGTGTTTGTGACATTAGCACCTTCATGTTCGTCATATCTCCGTCTAGGAGATACCTTACCGAGCGACAGTATAGTGGTCAAAGCACAACTTAGGCTATAGATGTCAAGGCGCTGACATCAAAGTTGGCTCTATTAGGGCCTTTCATGCTGCGGCTTTGGGGAAACAAGGAGCGCTGTCACATTCGGTTAGAAATGATATCGACCGTCACTCAGAATCGTATTCAATGTTTGAACTTGTGCGAGACTCCCTGATGGTGTTTTTCTGTCTTTTGTTGCTTTTATCCGTACTTTATGTAGAGAAACGAGGTCTGTACAGCAAGTGCTAAGTAACATGTTGTATACACACACAAACACTGCAGACCGGCGATAGCATCGTTCCTCGATTTTAAAGACGCATGCGCTTTACTTAGTTGCTCCGTCCTTTTGACACAGTTCCCCGAAAAGGTATTCAAAGAAAATATGTGAATTCCGTGTACCCTTACCTGAACATCACATGTCACACCAAGGTCTGTCGCGAGCTGTCGGTCACTTTTTAGACAGTACCTAGGGATCTCCGAGTTTACCCCATTCCAACACTTTGTTCGGTTCCATCATGCATAGTTCCCTTGTGGAATCTCGTGATGCAGACGTTGAGGTACTGCATGCAGTTTCGTCACGTCGACCGCTCAGATGGCTTTCATGCATTGTTTTGTCATTTGCTTTCGTTATACTGTTTTATTAAAGTACTATCTGCCTGCATTTACACGCATGTTTTGTTCTTCATTCTAGTTTATATTTTATCGCTTCATTTATGGGAGTCATCACTGAAGTCGCCGCTGCCCAACTGTTAGACTTTTCCCAACGTTTGGACATCGGACTCTTGGACAGAGTGGTCAATTGCATGTACCATGAAAGTGGAGCACAACAGAAGCTGGCAGAAAAAATTTTGAACACCCTTAAAGAACATCCAGATGCATGGATGCGCGTCGACTCCATACTGGAATTCAGCTTGAATAGGGAAACGAAATACTTCGCACTGCAAATATTGGAGGCATTAATTAAGACACGTTGGAAGGTTTTGGCTAGGCCGCAGTGTGAAGGTTGGTTTTTCTACCGTTTGCTTCCTTAGTAACGCTTTGAGGTATTAAAAAGTATATCGTTGGTCTCATCATTCAAACTTCTTCCAACAATGATTTGATAGAATCAGAGAAGACATATCTTGGGAAATTGAATATGATCTTAGTCGAAGTACGCTCTAGTCCCGCATTCTATCCGTCCTTTAGATATTAAAACATGAATGGCCCGCTAACTGGCCCACTTTTATCAGCGATATTGTGGGTGCCAGCAAAACCAACGAATCATTGTGTCAGAACAATATGGTTATTTTACGGCTGCTAAGCGAGGAAGTGTTTGACTTCTCTCTAGGCCAAATGACCCAGGCCAAAGCGAAGCATCTAAAAGACTCAATGTGCCAAGAGTTCGGCCATATTTTCCAGTTGTGCCAGTTCGTGCTGGAGAACTCCCAAAATGCCTCCTTAGTGGTGTCCACGCTGGAAACCTTGCTCCGATTCATGCATTGGATACCACTAGGCTACATTTTTGAAACAAATCTCATCCGAATTTTAGTACATAATTTCTTCAACATCCCCTTGTTCCGAAACGTTACTTTAAAGTGCTTGGCTGAGATTGCCGGCGTTCTAACTGATGACTATGAACAGCAGTTGGTAGAACTTTTCGTCTCAACCACGGAGAAGCTGAAAGAGGTAGGTCCATTTGTTATCTGTGATCTCTCTATACCTTAGATGCTCCCACTAGATACAAAACTACGGGAGGCATACGAATGTGGTACAACTGACGAACAGAACTTCATTCAAAACTTGGCAATTTTCTACACAACCTTTTTAAAGTGCCACAGCTGCCTGATAGAGAAACCGGAATTGATATGGCGACTGCATGACGCATATGCCTATCTACTCATGTTATCTGAGGTGGAGGAACGTGAAATATTCAAAATTTGTCTGGAATATTGGAACATATTGGTATCCGATTTGTATCGTGAAATGATGTCTGCGGATCTGCTGTCAACACACAATAGGTGTAAGCAATTTGACCAAACTATTTCAAAGGTGAGTAGCACGCTTGTCAGCTTTTGTTTTTCACTTCAATGCTATCGTTTGATCCAGCGGGATTATTTGAGTTCAGTTGCGCTCGCATTTCCTTTGGGCCATCTCGTGCTTTTCAATCATTTCGATGGCGGCGTTGACATGATGCGCATTGCCTCGTCCCTACGGTGGACCTGTGCTTTTTCTTGCCTGGTTCGTCTTGCTTTTGCTTAACGTGGATGTTTCCGTCTGAAGTCATACAAGCGATTGCGGTTATTAAGAAACCATCATCGGCGGAGTCGCAGTTTTCGAATTTCCCCGCGATGTTAGATCTACGAGGTTGTTTCACTTTAGAACACAGTAGATTTCTATGTACCTACTTCATCATAGAGTGCTGTTCCAGGTGCCAGACTTACGCTTTCCTCACCATAGTTTCCAGTCTTTCCCTTCATCTTCAACTTTGTAATCGTAATGATCATACATGTATCGGTTCTGTCAGACTATTCTACAGTGGAAGTTATGCCAGGCGATCGATTGACAAACCTGGATTATGCGGATCACATAGTTCTCCTAGGGTCCGATGCAGTGGCTATGCAAACACTATTACACAGACTTGTGCTTAGCGCTGCACGTTTCGGCATGTACTTTGCACTTTCAAAGTGCAAAGTACGGTTGCAGAACCAAGCCGACACACCACCAGTTTTAGCCATTTCCGAACAGCTACTGGAAGTGGTGGATCGGTTCACTTACCTTGGTAGCTGTGTCACCTGTGGTACTCGCATCACTGAAGTGGTTACTTCGCGTACCATCAAGGCTCCCATGCCTTCTAGAGGCTCAACCATCTATGGAGACGGTGGGATATCAGCTTGTCGGTGAGAAGTAGAGTCTATAACGTTGCGATAAGGCCAGTGTCACTGTTTGGATCAGAGACATGGCCAGTTCGCAATGAACACATTAAACGCTTAGCCTTGTTTGACCACCGGTGTTTGCGAAGTATTGCTCATGTTTGGTGGAAATACCGAGTGAGAAATGTTGTGGCCAGCCAGTTTCTTTTTGGCAAGAAACCTTCTGGCGCCTCTTTCGAGTGTTTGATAAATCTTAGTCGCCTGATTTGGCTAGGCCATGTCCTCCGTTTGCTCTTTGGTTGGCTTCCTCGGCGTGCGTTATATGCCGTGGCTGCACCAAGTTGGGCGAAAGCTCGAGTTGGCCAGTCCATGACATGGCATAGAAGCCTGCAGAAATTGACTGAGGGACTTGCTCAGGCTGGTACGTGCCGCCTTCGTGGATGGGGGCCTCGGGACAGTCCACACTAATGGTTGGAGACCCTGTCACACATTGCGCAACCACGAAGTCAGCGGCGTTCCTGCTTTCAGCTTTTTTCATCTGGTTGTTAATTTTCGTTCCATTCTGGTCAGTGTAACCGTCATAATCTTACAAGATGCGATTCTGAAATTGACACTTTACTGCTCTGTTGTGTTTCCGCTGACAGTACGAATAACCGATGCAACAACTCCGATCACGATTTAACCACTCGGAATCAGAAAACAAGGCCTCTGACGGGACTTGTATGGAGCACCCGGAAGACAGAATGTACAGGCATAATATGGGGTCAAAATAAATAGTTCATGAGAGGAAAGACCTAATTGAAAGGTCCTGACTATAGCAAGTATTGGATGCGCAAAAACCCGCTTGTTGGCTGAGCAAATAGTGTGCTTTCTGAAGGGCTTCAGGGTAGGTTATTCTGATTGGTCCGCCTCAAGCTAAAACGATGCTATTGGCTTACTCCCATTGGTTAGCCAATCGGCTACAACCAATCTTCTGCGGGCTGCTCCAGAGAGAGAGAGAGAGAGAGCTAGCTTCGATGGCTGCTATGCACGGGCTCCGATAACACCATCGCAAAAAGCGACGTACAACTTCCTTCTGGGATCCAGCTGCATTCTGACCACAGATCTCCGTTTCCGATCACTGCATCGTCGTGGCTGCAAGCTCGTTCCTTCTGTGGTCACTGGACAATGCTCATTAGATCGCTTCTGAGTTCCTGGATGTATGTTGAAATTGTTCAGCAGTATATACTGTGGTAGCGATTGTTCACTGATACTTATCTGAATGCTGATAGGCCGCAAGTATTTTGCATGTCTGGTCCAAATCGTGGCACTGACTCGAACTTTATGCAGCACTTGTCCAAGTCTGCAATCGATCGAGCCTGTGATCCACTTTGGCCTTCCAGGGTGATAGTCTCTGACTAAAACACCCTGTCCTGGGTGAAATAGACGTAACTGTGTCATGTGCCGCTGATTGAAGTAATTTTCCATTCTCACGCTCCTCTCTTGCGGAGCGATACGCTTCAGAAACAGCAAGGAACTCAGAGTACGGAGTTTTCTGCCCATAAGCGCTTTTGCTGGGGACAGCTGATTTGGCACCTGGGCGTTCGGAGTTGATCTGTACTGTAGATAGAAAACATCAATATCTTTTGGGTAGTTCCTTCCCCCCTCATCTTCAGCAACGTCCGTTTAAAGGTATCAGCAAAGCGCTCAGCTTGCTCATTGGACTGCGGGTGGGACGGCGGCGAGCGTAGGTGTGTGATACCGTTCTGCGAACTGCAATGATGCGAACTGAGGACCCTTGTCAATAACCAGGGTCTCTGGTATTCCATGCTGGGCGAAAAGTCTTCTCAGTACGCCAATTGTTGAGTCATTTGTACGTTATATTCAAAACACTTCCGGCCACTTGATGAAGTAATCAACAACGATGAGATACTGTTGTCTATTCACGGGAACAAAAACATCTACGTGTACTCGCTGCCACGGTTTCGTTGATAACAGCCAGGAAGACAATTCCGCTTTCCTGGGCGCCTTGTTTACAAACGCACAGACCAGACTCGATTTCGCTAGCTGTTCCAGCTCCGTGTCGATATTCAACCAGTAAACGTAATTCCGCGCAATCATTTTCATTCTGTTAATGCCAGGGTGCCCAAGATGAAACTGCCGTAGAATTCTTTGGCGAAGCTCACTAGGGATAACAACTCTTTCCGCCAAAAGTAAACGACCATTGACGATGAATAATTCGTCTTTTCTCTTGGATAGGCTTTGCAATTCCCCATTTAGATCGTCTTTCGGCTACTGTGTAGTGTGAAATCTGACCACTTGTTGTGGGATAGGATCCCGCATTGATGCATCACGTGTCATTTCAAAAGTTACCGGAAGTTCTCTGAGCGTTTCCAACAACATCTGATTCATTTCCGACTCCAGAGGGATCGCTGCAACGATAGATTCTTCTTACTGGCACTTCTGGCTTTCCAATAACCTGGAAAGGGCATTAGCTTGACCTATGTCCTTTGTATAAATGTGTTTAACCATAAAGTCGTAGCCGAGTAATGAAGTAGCCCACCGCCGCAACCTGCTTGCCGTATAGACAGGGATGCCCGACTTTGATCCGAAAACTGCCAACAGCAGCTTATGGTCAGTAAGAAATGTAAACTTCCTTCCATACAGCATTTTGTAAAACTTCTTTACAATGAAGACTATCGCCAAGGCTTCTTTCTCTATCTGGCCATAATTCCGCTCTGCAATAAACAGCGACCGGGCTGCATGTGTAATTGGCTTCTTCTGAACCATCTGCAAACATGTGGACTATGACTGCACCAATGCCATAGTTCGAAGCGTCCGCAGCCACCATAATCTCCAAAGTTGGATCTTAATGTGTTGACAGAAGGTCGGAACATAGTAGCCTTTTTACCTCGTCAAATGAGCTCTGGCATTCTTCGGACCAGTTCCAGTGTTTATCCTTGGTCAGCAGGTCATTGAGTGGACCACGCAAGCGATGCATGTGCGGTAAGAACGGGCTGTAATGGCTTATGAGTCCTAGGAAGGATCTTAGCGTTGCAACATCTTTGGGCGGCTGGCATCTTCTTGATTGCCTCGATGTTCGCTGGGTCTGGACCGCTACCGTTCTTGTAGATTATAAAGCCGAGAAATGTAATCGAGTCCATGAAGAAAGTACACTTCTCAGGTTGGAGTCTGAATCCGTATTTCTCAACACGACCACGAACTCGATCCAACTTTTCAAATAGGTCATCAGCCCTGTCTCCGACAACAATGATTTCGTCCAGGTATGCGGCTGCTCCATCGGCATCTGTCAGCATTGTGTCCATGATCTGCTGGAATGTGGATGGTGCAGATTTGACTCCAAACGGGAGACGGTGATATTGGTACGAGCCTCGATGCGTATTGATGGCGAGTAATTCTTGTGAAGCTACATGTACTTCGATCTGCAGGTATGCATCAGATAGATCCAACTTTGCGAAATATTTATCACCATTCCATTTTGCGAACAAATCATCTGGGAGCGGTAAAGGGTACTGATGGGCGTTCAATGCAGCATTTAGACCCGCCGAGAAATGGGCACATATTTGAATCTGACTGTTTGGCTTTCTGACCATCACAATGGGTGTCGCCCAAGACGAGTAGTTCACCGGGTGGATAATCCCTGCTCTCTCTAAGCTATTCAGCTCCTGCTCACTCATTGATGTTGCTGTGTAAGGTACAGGGCGTTATGTACGAAACACTAGAACAGCATCGGACTTAAGAGATAGTGAAGCTTGTACTTTAGTGCACTTACCGAGGCCTTCCCAAAAACTGCTGCACATTCCTCTCGTATACGCCCGATAGCTACAGTTTTAGGAACTGTTGTCTTGTATATCTGGACATTTGCACAAATCTGGTTGATCGGAACATCAAGTAGGTTGAAACGCTCGATCCAGTCGAGACCCAGAAGATTAAAATTCTGGTGGATCTTGACAAAAATCGTTTGAAATGCTATAAAGTCGGCATAACGACACTCACAATCGACTTGACTAATGAATTTCAACTCGGTACCTGATGCACTTTTCGTCTGTTGACTGGTAGGTTTGGTTTCTGGTGACCCGACAGTTCTCCACTGTCGTTCTGATACGACCGTAATGTCTGAGGCCCTACCAATTTGCAAACGGGTCTGTCTTCCATTGATGTTTATATTGATGTACTTTC